ATGGGTTGCAGGGGTTTTGTGCAGATTCGGTTTCAGTTTTGCCCGTCGAATGTTGTTCAATTAACGTGGCTGGGTTGTTTTTGTTTTGGTTTGTCTGTCGGCGAACTCCACACATCGCAAAATTGGCAGCAAAATGACAACCGCGAGCGTTTTCCGCCGACTGCAAAATGTGGCGGTGGCGGTGGCGGCGGCGCGATGTGCGGCATCAACATGTTGCACAAATATAAACATAAATCAATTAACATTTTTCGACCATGCCAGTGAACTACTCGGTTTCGCGGGTAGTCCACGGAGTCCTGGCTTCACTGTTCCTTGCCTGGAAATGCCTGCAAATGCCTGGAAATGGCGGGGTGGCCAAATTTTTAGCCAATTCGCCGGCGGCTCCAACTTTCCGAATCGGTAATTTGCCACAGCCGATGTCTGTGTGTGTGTAAGCAGGGGAGTGCCCCAAAATTTGGCGGTGCCTACTTTTCGGCGCAGGAACTAAATGAACACTAAGAAAGCATTTGAAAACTTGGGACTTATAGGCACATTGAAGTGTAGTTGAAACTTAAACAACAGCATAAGACAACTTTTTGCCTTCATCAAATATTGTTCAAATAAAATGTATCAATTAAAACAAATGAACATCTCGAAATTGAATCCCGATTCGATGGCATTACATCACTGCCACCTAAAATCTCCATGCAGACTCAATTTAACTGGCAATTAATGTATTCCACTGCCTGCTACCGGGTTCTTTAGTCCAAGTGCCATGCCCATGCCCATTCCCAATCCCATTGCGAAAGTCCAGTATTCTGGCATTCGATCCATTGCCGAAAGTGGCAATCAGCAAAAACAACAGCAGGGGACAAAAGGCCGCTCGTGCCACGCCCCCAGTTTCTGGCCAAAGGGGGCGCATGGCCGTGCGGGCTTAGAGGTGGGCATGTGTGGGATGTGTGAGAAGGCCATGTCGACACCTATTACCATTCATTGACTTTTGCCATGTCCCTGGGGTGTCATCTATGCAGGTTGCTTTGCTTTATCCTTCCATGTTGCTGCTGCTGCTGCTGCTGCTGCTGCTGCTGCTGCTGCTGCTATTGCCCCACGCGTTTGATTGCATTTGCAGGCGAAAACCCAACGACCGTTTGCTAATGTCCTTCGATAAAGCCGGCAAAATCAACACCACCAGCCACCAAAGGACACAAGCTCACTCCACCGCATTTTGGGGATATGGATGTGGCGATATGGGGATACGGGGATATGGGCCAGCCAGCCAGTGAACGACGACTGGTCTCCGTTTTCATTTGGTGTTTGATTGGATTTTCAATTATTCATTATTATTGGTTGCAATTTACCTGGCGGCCAGCACAGAACCCATCCCATCCAGCTGCATTGATTGCGTTCCATCAGCGAATGGAATGGATGGGGATGTTTGTCGCACCAGTTTTCCAACTCATCAAACTCCAATTGCATCATTAAACGGAATTTTTGATTTTCATTCCCCTTCTATGGATTTCACATTTTTTTGCTCACCCGTTTCATTTCTTGTGTCTGTAAACTTGATTCATTTATCCCCCAATCTTTCGAGACTTTTCTTCAAGACTGCGGCTTGTTTGTTACATTCAAGGCCGCTGTGGTGGAGTTCATTGATCAATTAATGCAAAGGCGAGCAGATCAAGGCTCGAAAAATTCCAGAAAACTTAATGGCGCTCCCCCAAAAACCGATTAGCTGCCTATGTAAATGATACTCTGCTTAAATACTCTACTCAAAGGCATCTTCACTTGTTTATGCATTGCCAAATAATTTTGTATCAAATTTTGCGCTTTTATAAAGCAGAACGAAATCTTGAAGGTTTATACTATATAATTTTATAATTTTCATATTCCTAGTGCATTATGGAAATAAAAAATATAATATTTTTGACATACTTCCACATATGCTTTTATAATTTGTATATTTTATGTCATTACGAACTCCCGTTGTTTCCCCCGCTTCCGTTTAAGGTGGACAATTATCTGCTCTACGGGAAGGCAATACCCGGAATTTTGGAGCGCGGGAAGGGGGGGTGGGGGATTGGGGAACACAAACCGAGACTTCAGATCGAGCCATAAAGATAAAGACTACAAAACAAAACCAAAAGCAAAACCAAAACCAAAGCCGAAACCAAAACCTAAGCCCCGAAAAACAAGCAAAGCCACCGACAAAGTGTTTCCGACTTTTTCGTAGATTTTTGCTGCCAGATTTTTATTGGCAGAAAGAGATAGCCAACTGGATAACTGGCCAGCGAGATAGAGCAAGAGGGAGCATTTTGATTTTTACGAGCATTTCATTTCGTATCATTTTGCATCGGATATTTGGGATACTATACTCGCACATACAAACGTGTATATATGAGCGGCTACTTGTCTTGGCAACCGACAAATTCTTGTCTGATTTCGCCGGCGACAATAAATTAAGTCAAGTGTAGCATTTAATTGATTTTAATCATAGATTAAATATCGTTAAACAACAAAAAGCCAGGGAGTGTTGCGGGTCATGGCAATATAGGCCAAAGAACAACAGCGCTGACCAATAAAGTCAACAATCAAATCAAACAGTTCCCCCTCCGTCGCAGAGCTACCCCGCCCCCCGGGGGGCGGTGGGCGGTGGGCGGTGGGCAGGGCAAACAAACCAATTTGTAGCACAATAAGTTGTCGTTACTTGGTTGTTGTAATCGCTGTTTGCCAATATGTAATCCTCAGAAACAACAAGAGGCCATCAGCTCCTTGCTGTCCTCTGCGTATCCTTGTTGTCGCTGTTGGGCTTTCGGTTTTCGGTTTTGGTCCTGGCATCCTGCATTCTGGATTTTAGATTTCAGCTTTCAGATTTTAGGGCGCTTGCCTTGAATTTCAATTACCCGTGACTCGCCTTTCGTGGAGAGGGGCGTGTCGGGCACCAAACAAGGGGCATCAGTAAAACCTGGCACTACCTTTAAGCATAGTACGTTGAAACTTCAGTTTGACATTGAAGTTGAAGTTCGAGCTCGATTGATAAAGGATTTTTTCGTTTTTAGCAATTGTGGTCAGGAACTGCATAGAATGTAAGCCCCTAATGAAACGCACTGCATGCATGTGCGGATATAAATTTAAGCATAAGGGAGCAATGTTTGCCAGGGTGGGGAAATGGGGGAAAACAGCGGGGAGACAGTGGGGTCGAAAGGTGAAAGCCAGGACAGTGGAAGAAAATATTCGCGTTGCTAACGAATCAAATAAATTTGTTGGTCAATTAAAAAACTGCAAAACGCGCACAATTTCCACATGTGTGGCAGCAACAACCACACAGACCACCAGTTTTTCTTTTCACCCCTCCCCGCCCCCACCCACCCCTGCAGCAGGCAACCGCCTCTGGCCCCTCCCCTTTTGCCCACGTCCATGGACGCTGCTGATTTTTGCTCTAATGGATGCCAGCGCCAAATGAAAAGCTTCGCGCGAAAAAAATGCATTGCAAACCAATTTTTTTCTCTCCACTCGCTTTTTCTTACCAATTTTTTTTTGCCATGATTCCCTGCATGGTTTCTGACTAGCTTTTGACCAAAAATTCAACTCCCTTCCGATTCTTTTTTTGCACACAATTTTTTATGATATTCTTTTTGGTCATTTTTTCCATTTCGCATTTTTGTACTTTTTCTGATTATTTCCTTTTTTTTATGTTAAACTTTGGCCGTAAACTAACTTTGTCGGGTGGGGCTTGATAGTGTCTAGGGAGAATTGATGTTGCGCAGGGGGGCTGGGTGCTTTTTAGCTGGGAAAAAGGGGAGTTTTTAGGGGGCTAAGAGGTAGCACCAGTTCGAGCTGAGCCAGCCACGTTAGTTATTAGTCGGGGTGCTCTATGGGCTGAGTGAACATGAGAGCGGCGATAAATGTCTAGTTCAGCACTCGAGAAAAAATGCCCCGAAAACGGTGGAAGCGGAAAACATTGATAGACTAAAGCGCCGACGATGAAAGGGCACCGGAAAATGTGGCATCGCAAAACTACATAATAATCAGGAGTTCAGTTCCTCTAGAAGGCAGGCTTCATGTGAATTATAATAATAGCACTACATGCCTATAAAATATTTCTGATAGCAAAGCAAGCAAAAACAGGTGGCTTCTATAATTCGCTTTTTTGATTACATTGATTGCTATATATAGTTTTATGCATGAAGCGATTTTCATAGATTTTCCCCCAAGTTATATAGGTGTGCAACTCCATTGCGGCGACTTCAGCGTGGAAATTGACATCGGCTGGCTGACCAGCGAAAACGAAAACTAAATAAAAATGCAGTGCAATTTACGGTTGCCGAAGGGTGGGGCGTTGGGCGTTGGGAGGTGGAAAGTCAACGAGGTGGTGGTGGAGAATACAGGGTGCATAAAGGGGGGTTTGGGCTGGGGGGAGGGAAAACGACTGCCAATTTCATGCCATGCTCTTCCTCTTTTGTTCACATCGCTCTCATCTCTTGCAGCAATCTTCTCCTGATTCCCCCTTGTTGCTTCAATACCCTGTATGGTACATCTGGGTGTATTGCGTTGTATAAATGCAATGGAAAATTATGTTCCAGTTGACAAAAAAAAAAACAAAGAAAAACAAGTTAGGGAACTCTTAAAATGTATGCAAAGCGTGAAACATACGAGTATAAACTTTGAGTTACAGGGTATCTTCTATTTGATTGCTTGGCCTTTTTCTGCATGCCACTGCTTTTTGCTGCGCACATTCTGCTGCACTATATGCGCTCGTTGGGTGTTTGATTAAATTTAGAACAATGGAAAATGCGGAGCCAAGAGCGCTCTTTCTACAGGGAACCGCCTTCGGGTCTCTACTGCGCCTGTCCAGCGAATCAATCGATAGCCAATAACCAATACCCCGTGACCCATGACCCATGACCCATGGCCACTAGCCAATGCCGATGAGTGCCTTTTATACACACAGATACCTATTTGTATATGTATATACTTGTGCAAAACTGTTGCAGGCGTGGCAAGCGCTTTGGTTTTCCTTTGTAATGCCGAATAGCGATGGAGCACGGGCGCGGCCCAAGCACCGCAACAGGAACAGGCCACGAGCTCGTCCATGCACGCCGGAGAATCTCCTAGAGAATCACCTGCAGAAGCTTTTCGAGCAGCAGGAGCTGCTGCACAGCCTGCTGATAAGCAATCGTCCTGGAGTAAGGACCCAGCTGGAGGATCTGGGCGGCGACAGCAACTATGAGTTCGACACCCAGGACGAGGATGGCGATTATGAAAGTCTGCCCAGTTTTCAGGTTAGCGATGCTTGGGCAATAAGTGTTTTGAAATGAGTTCCTTATGTTTGCCACAGGAGTCGGTGGAGGAACTAAGTAACCAGCCGGTTCTGGCCGAAGACGTGGAGTCGGTGGAGGAGGAACCAAAGGAGCTTAGTAACCGTGCAGATTCCGTAGTTCTGGCCGAAGACGTGGAGTCGGCGGAGGAGGAACCAAAGAAGCTTAGTAACCGTGCAGATTCCGTAGTTCTGGCCGAGGACGTGGACTCATCCAGTCCTCCGAAGTTTGAAAATCTCCCAGCAATTCCATCTCGAACGTATCCATATTGCAGGAACCACAGCTCGATGCCACTGCCAATCACGATGGGCAATTGCACACCACCCAAGGTCATAGGTCAGGGCTACGATGCGCCCTTTCTGTACCCCAATTTTATTTCAAAAAAAGAGAAAAGCCGTGTCAAGTGTGAGTAATCCATAACTAAAATGATCGCATTCGAATCGCATTGTTTCGAATTCAACAGCTTGACAAGAGTTATCAATAACTATCGGTCCATTTAATAGACATCTTCACCTTGGTGGACAGTCTGGTGTTGCAAATGGAGCGATTACTCAAACAGGGCGAGCACTCGATGGCCGAAGGAGCCGTTGAAAAACCTGCCTCAGGAGCTGTGCCCAAATCCAGGCCTAAACAGGACTTCCAAGTGGATCGGGTGGGCCATGCCAAATACACGGTTGCTGTCAATTCTCGTTTAAATCAGCCAAAGCAACACAATCCGTCCAGTGAGTCAGATAAGCATAGGCATAGCAAAATATTTGAATTTATGGGAACTATTCGAACCTGTAGAACACCATCATCGTTTGGGCAGTAGTAAGGTGCACTCGCATAGTAAATTGCCGGAAAACTTCGATTTGGATTGCGAGTTCGGAATGGAGTATATTGAGAAATTCCGAGCCAACAAGGTTCGAGATGAAAATTTGCCCGAGCCAGAGAAGCACACTGATTACACGGACGAAGAAGGTTATCTAGGTGGACTTAACAACACAATATTCAGATTTCATATTACTCTCCTATTTAGAACTAAAAGAACTCGGGATAACCATTATTCCGGACTCCGAGATCCCAAGCGAACTTCATTTTCCTGAAATCGCTATGGCCAAATCATTCAAAAGACACAGAAGATGCAAGAGAAAAGATTCTCGACCAAGTACACCCATCACCAGACCCTCGACGCCCATCGGTGACGATGTGCCCAGCACATCGGCACAGGCAAAATTTTATCAGCAATTTACAGGTCACTTGGAGCCCGAGAAAAGCGAATCAAGTATCTTGACCCCGTGGCAGCTCTTAAAAGTAAGAGGTAAGTCACGAAAGTGTTCCATTCCGTTCGCTCCCAAAGAGATTCTTTCCCGACGACCGCAGGACCCGAACCATTGAAGGAGTGGCAATGGGATATCATTAGGTACATGAGGCAATTTAATAAGGAGAAAAAACGAAGGCAGCGACTGGCAAAACAGCTCAGAGATGGAGAATTACCAGCCATAGATGAGGAACCCGTGCTTAAAGTGAAGAAGAGGGATCTGCGCAGGGAGGAACTTCAACGGAAATACTCCTATGTGCCCATAGACAGGCCGAAAATTCGGCCAAAGTTCTACAAGGCCTTTAAAAGGCAAAAGGAATGGCTAAAGGCGGAACGCGAATACAAAAGAGTTCAGTACCTAACGTACTTCAGACCACAGGACCTCTACGAGCCCAGGATAAAAGTGACCAAAAAGCAAAGGCGCGCCATTCGACGCAGACTTCTCAATGTCCCAAGTAGAGGAGCGGTACAACCCAAGCCCATGCCAAAGACAAAAACACCGCTTTGTCCACTGCCTGCTGACGAAAAGGTTAAGGTTGAAGTTCCCAATCAGGATCCTCCACCAATCCCCGGGCCAGTGGACAGGGGTCAGCGGCTAAAGAATCTGCTCATGGACAAGATTCGCCTAAATCAGGATCAAAAGCTGAACCACTTGGTATTACCAGAGGATCCTGTTAAGGCCATCTACTTGCCCCTTCCCCATCGACGTAAGTCCGCGCAATCTGCATCCAAAATGAATCAAAACTCAGCCCACAAAAAACCCAAGTCCGCCCCGCTTTTTTTGACCAGTGCCACCAGCTCCACTGCAGCGATCAATGGCCAGAGTAGTTGTAGTAGCATTCCAGCCGAAACCAACTCGTCATCTTCATTGAGTACCCTGTTCTACGATGCCAAGCACACGAAGTCGGGCAACGATTTTGGCATGAGTAATGAAAGTGTGGCAGGCTTTAGGAAATCCTGCGATCCTGCAAAGAATCAGGTGGCAAAGCCGCTAGGAAGGAAATGCAACAACGAGGCCATTGCAAAGGATGCGCCCGAAGAGGGTGTGGATTTCAGGAGATACATCGATCTGGACTTCGTGTCGCGCCAGATCCTGCAACTGATGTCGAAGATGAAGCCCCACAAGGACAGCAAGCTGGTGGAAGTGCATCCCAAGGTCTCAGAGTACATGGATCACTTTTACTGGGAACGCCTAACGCCCGATGGTCTCTTCTTTCACTGGTTCCTCTGCGAGGGTTTTTTTCCCGCTCACTATCTGACCAAGGTGAAAACCGCCAAGGAGCTGGAGGACGTCTCGCAGGCCCAGCTGGATCAGCGGATTATGGAGTACATAGATTTGGTGAATGACGTGAATGCGACCAAAATCAAGCTCACAAGCCAGATGGCGCACCTCATGGTGACCTCTTATTTCCGAGTTCTGTACCACAGGGCGCAATCGAGTGAATACCCCATCAAGGACCGATGTTTGCTTAGATGCCGCTTTGCCATCTCCATGGTGGAACTGCATCAGCAGGAGCGAGGTCGCCACATATTGAGGAATCGGGTCGACTGTAGGCTGCTAATGAAGTGGGCCCTCAAGCACGAGGGTCGCGTGAAGCAGCTGTACGATGAGCCATTGTACTATGCCGAGGAGCGGGCCAGCATTAATACCTGCCTGGTCATGCGTACTCCCAATTTGGAGGCCTTCAAGGAGTTTTACCATCGCCAGGTATTGCCCAAGCCTGATGCACTCGCCATTAATCCGGTGTTTTACAAGATCAAGCGTTATCCGAGCAGTGAAACCGACCTTGATGCCAGATTCGTGTGTCCCATTCCTGGCTGCCAAACGGATCTGAGCTCGAAGATTCTTATGGCACACTTTTTGACCGATCATTGCCGACGATTGGAGGAACTTTGGCTCACCGATCGCATGGTACTACTATTCTGTCCGAGCTCCTATCCCCCAAACCAAGTTTACTGCATTTGTGTGATCGCCCTGTTGGCCAGAATGCCCAGCCAAACGGTACCGATACCCAAAGTCATACTCAACGAGGAGTTGCCTTCGAAGTATCTGTACTTTGTGGAACACGGAGCATGTTTTATAATGTTCGCTCCGGTTTCGAGATTATTGATTGAGGGCAAGGCGGAGCAAAAGCCTGCCAGCAAAAAAGGCGCTAATAGGCATCTAGATACTTTGTATATCTTTTGGCTGGCTACTGCCGATTATGAACTCAAGGATGCGGGCTGTCGCCTTTTTGTGTATTGCCAGGATCGCGGCATCAAGGGCAAATCCCTATTGAACTTTGTGAAAATGTCCGAGTTCAAAGGTGTGGCCCATTTGGTGGCCACACAACCTGATAGCTATCTGGCTATCGATTATGCGACGATGGCATCGCTGACCAAAGATTTTAGGGAGCTGCTCTTTATCGAGGTACGATACATTGATAAGTTGGTTGAGGACTCCAACAATTCCGGTGATGAGAATTTTGATATTTGAGGTTAGATTTTAGATTCTTCGCCATCTTCTCCGTGCATATATACAATCAATTTATCTTACTTAATTTCCGTTTCATTGCAGAACCTTTTGAAAAGGCAACTTGAAGGATCGCATCTGGCTTTTATTTTGATATATACCTAAATATATTTTATATGCCTCAACGGCTGCTTATTTCGAATGTTGTTCAATAAAAACACTTGTGGTGGCGGGCAGCAAAAATGATATTTACTTCTTATTTTACTGCGAATGGTAGCCAAGCTTGTGTTTATTTATTATCATTTAATATCTGGCTATCGCCAGAAAAGCAATCAAAGCAAAAAATGGGAAATTTAAAATAAGCAAAGCGTGGCAGCAAATCAAAAAACAATTACGCGGCAAATGACATTATCAAATGTCAAATGTCATGTTCGGCGAGGCTCCCACTTCTTTTTTCATTTTCTTCTCCCCATTTATTGTTGTTTTATTTTTTCCTTGTATCTTGTATCTTGTACTTTGTATCTGGAGCAGCTCGCTTATCTGAAATACTGAGTTACTCGCACTGAAATGCAAAGCAGCCAAAAAAGAGAGCGCATCAAATTTGTTCGAGGCAATTTTTCAATTCATTGAAGTGGAATTCATAGAAAGCCGTGGACTTCGGAGACTCCGGACTTTGGATACTAAGCGCCACTTGACTTGTGACCCGAAACCCCCCACCCCCTTACCCCTCGCTGACCTCCGCCCCTCGAAACGAAAGCTCCCTTGGGGGTGGAGTATCTGAAATCAAAATCAAGATTTTTGATTCTTTTATACACGCGCATTGTACACCCACCCCCCACCGATACAAGTGGGGGCAGGGGTCGTTTGGAGTTTACTTTGTTTGCTGGGGTTTCTTTTATTCTCTGAAATTGGCTTTAAGACCGTTGCTTGTAAATAAATCTGTGATGCCCTTTGAATTTGCCCTGCTTATTCTTACATTATTGGCTGGTGAACATTGAGCAATAGCAACCAAGAGCTACTGGAAAATGTAAATACAATTCGGTTTGGCCTGTATGTAGTACAATATCACTCACGAGCACTCTGCTCGAACCAGGAAATTAAACAATTACGAAAAGCTCTTTTGCCAGTGTAGCCGACTTATTGCGGTTACTTGACGACATCCTTGGGCAGAAGATGAGCTGCCCATAGCAACCAATGACCCACCTGGATCTACGATGCCATGTGCATTGGCCGAGCTACTTCGCCTATTTCGCCTGATATTGATGACCTCGCATTTATCTCGTCGAGGCTGAAAAATCGCCCTGACAATGACCCTGGGCCCTGGCTTCTAATGAAAGTCAACACGCAGGACTCTGAACTAATGACCTGCACGATGGCCAGTGGGTGGTATCGTCTTCCATCAATCGAAATGGAAACAGAAAACACAGACAGAGAGCGACCATTTGGGCAATTTTGAATATGTCGATTACGAGGGACGTTTATTGATTGCGAACTCAACTCACACCGAAAGTAGACGAACTGGCGGAAAAAGAAAAACTATTAGTAGTAAATTGGGCTTTCTGCAAGGACAACGCACATATGTCACAACCCAGGCGAAAGTGCGGGGAAAAATGAAAAATGATCTCAGCGCAGAAATGGCGTGAAACGGGAAGCCTTTGGAGGGTTAACACTGCTGGGCGCTTTTGGGTTAAGAGTGGGGGTGCACACACACTGTTGTCTTGAAGGTGCGATAGCATAGCTATAAATGACTGCTTTTTGATATAAATTATACAAAACACAGCATACTGCTACGTTGCTAAAGCAGTCAAAGTCAATAAATTGCTTGAGTTATATTTAAATGAACAATATGCACATAGACTAATTAAATGCCACGCTGCTTGCGTGTCAATGTAAAAGATCTTTCTGGAATTTGAAGTGCTGCAAAAGATCTTTATGCCAGAGCTTAACATCTCTAATGTAGCTGTATCGGTATCCATCCATTCAATTGCCTTAATATATCTGTCACATGTCGAATGTGTCGGCGTCAACGCAGAGTAAGAAAAGTAGTGGGATCATCCACCGAATTACCCATTACCCATTACCCATTAGCCATTGCCCACCACCACCCAGCGAACCACCCACTCCTGCACCACACATCATCATCATCTGTGCCACCACCCACTGGGCGGTGTTCGGTATTCTCCTTGCCGGTCGGTCAGCTGTCATTAATATTTATTATGTCACATGCATACGCACGGGACCAAAACACCGACTTCGACTCCCGGATACGGATCCGGTTTCCAGGCTCAACTCCCAACTTTCTTGCCAACGCCCAGCCGAAATACGTGTCAGGGCATCTGGCCAATAAGTTAGGGGCCAAAGGTTTTTAATATTTTCATAGGCCACGTCAAATGCCAGTCGAGAGGAGAGCAATGTTCCAGCGCAGTCTATAAGAAACAGCCAATATCAATCCCGGCCCGATAAGCGAGAAATTGGCCAAAAGGTAGGTTGTTCTGGCACCTGAATCGCATCCTGGCCCAAAGAACAGAGTCACAGAGTTGCGTCCAGAAGCACAATGGGCTCATTAGCCGTTTAATGGAATATGTAATGTGCGTGGGCCGAGTTGATAAAGTGATGACTAGTTGCGACTGCCGATTCCTGGGCACATTTCTGGACTGGTGGTTGATAGACAACGGTTGTGTACGGTTGCCCACCCGAAAACTAACAAACTAATCCAATATTTTTATTACGAAATGCCATTAAGGGCCATTGAATATTGTGGCATAATAAATAAATGGCCTGGCTACAGTGTGCCGCATTTATGTGTGTACATGTGGGCCTGGCTATAATCCTAGCTATCAACGGCATCATTATTCAAAGACGGATTTGGCGGGGCGATACATATGGGCATGGATTTGCTGTGGGCGAAACTTTGACACACATACATCAAAGCATCTTAGGTCCGCAGAGAAGCAGACGTTCCATGCCTACGAGTTGACTACTCTAAAAGCGATTTTTCTGCCTGTCTTAAATGTGCCACCGAAGCCATTTTCATTAATAGCAAAATCCTGGCTGCGCGCTGGGGAGTAGACTGAGTGCCAAATCCCCTAGTCTCTAGCCACTTGCCAATTGAAAATGAGGCATCTGCCAGTATGCGCAATACTTCTCCTTCATTTTTGCCCCCTCCGCTCAAGGCGACTGCCCATTAATAAGCCAGTTCACACCCAAACACCCGAACACCTGACGCCCTCTGCTGCTCACCTTTGGCCCACCACCTGCACCCCTTTTCCTGGTTAGCCACTCAAGGACCAACACGGCCAACGTGCGCTTAATTAGTCCGTTTTGTTTAAAACGATTCTGATGACCATGGAGCTGATGATGATTCTCGTGTTCCCCATTTAGGTTCGCATATAACGTGTGTGCATATTCAGATAAATGCATGTACACATGCTTATGTGTTTGGCCGTTTCCCCCGCCATACTCTATGTGAGAGTTGTGTGCTTTTGGGGAGCAGTTTTCTGGGAAGCAATTTTCTGGCCAGTAATTCACAGGACTTTCTTGCAGCAACAGTAATTTGAGTGCTGCATTTAGTTTTGAAATCGCTCGGCTGTGTTGCAGCATTATTTTAAAGAGTATCCTTTGCGTCGTGACAACCTCTTTTGATTCCCTCGCATTTTTTTACCATCTCAACTCCTGCAGGAGCTGCTTGTTTGCCAGCAATTCAATTTGCCGGCTTTCTATACTCACACACCCAATGTTATTTTTTGTAATGCTTTTTTTTGCATTTTCCCTGCCGGTCAGTTCTCCCACTTTTCACTTTTCACTTTTCCACCGCTCCTTTCTTTCGAGCCCGTGTTTGCGTATGTTAATCGAAATGTTTGGCCGCCTGAATGGGGGGCGTACTCAGCATACGCGGGTATATGTATGTATGGGGCTATTTTTTCATCGCACATGTGTAACGCGGCTTTGTTTAACATTAAATGGAGGTTAATACCTGGCAGCACGTCCAGCGATTCCCCTTTCCGCGCAAAGGGTCAAGTGCAGCATCAAAACAGAAGGGTTGTCGTTGTCGTTCCGCATCTGCAGTTTTGCAGGACACGATGGGGTGGGGCGGGCATTATTCGAGGTGTTCCGAGGATCAGGGGATCGGGGGAAACTGGGGGACTTGGGGCTAATGTTATTGCCATCACATTTGATTGTTGTCCATTTGGCCGCCGCCTGCGGCACTTTTTTGGACTGCGCCTCGAAAACCCCCCAAAAGCATTTTCGATTGTTTGCAAATAGGCGAGTGATTTTACGGTTAATTGATTTTGAAGCGATTTCGCTTAAATGTTATCGCTGCATTGTTGTTATGGCGGCCACGTCGCTGGACTCTGCGAGTGGATCACTTGGGATTGGGAGTGCGGTTTGGTTGAGGTTTTGGGGATTTCGCTTTTTTTATATCTGTTTATGTGCGTTGTAATGCCGTTGTAATTAAAATGTAAGGTGTGGGCAAAAATCGTGAATATGGCTACTTTTTAACGATTTTCTTCCTTCTACAGATTGCTACAGATTCAGAGTCATCGTAACACTTTGTTTCAAGAGCAGGCCAGTTGCTCTTTATACGGGCTTGCCACTTTAATTGTTTCATATCGACAGCTTCAATTATGGTGTGGCTTGGGGAAATATTCAGGCAACCCAACCCTCTGGAAATTAGAAATCATCCACCCACCTAAGTGACCAAGAACACGGTCGTGTGTTCATTAAAACAATAAAAAGAACACACGCCCAAATACAAATACAGCTAAGATACAAATACAGATACAGATACAGATACAGATGCGGATGCGGATAAGGAACCGAAGGCCTAATTATGATTTCTCCAACTGACAGCGGTCAAAACAGCCTTGGGAGGTTATTATCGAGGGGTGGCATATCCGGTTCACTTACCACCCCCAACCCCACAAGGAAAAACCTTTTCCTTCTTTTGGCCGTCCAAAACGTCTATCTGTGCGTAACGCAACGTAATTACACAACATTCTCAGCTTGGGCATTTCGCCACTGGCTATTTGCCCATTGGTTTTACGAGCGTGCTGCACTCTGGCGGCCATCAGCCAGGATCAGGATCCTGGACATTCTGGGCATCAGGACATCAGGACATCAGAGAGCATCATCAGCCACCCCG